AGGCCAGAGAAACAGGTGCTGGCAGGGAAGAGACACGACTGTAAACACCACTGATCATCAGCCTCCAGAAGAGATGTGACGTGTCTTACCACGTTATTTTTAGCAAGTATTTGTGGCAGACACAAGTCTATCTGCTGCTTATAGAAATCTCCACATCGGTTCATTTTGCTAATGAATTGACTGATTGTTTCTTGAGTTTTAACAATCTCCTTATTTAATGAAATTTTTTATAAATTCCTGGGGGAGGACTTTTACACAGTGTTTTTGGCTTTAGCATAACAGGGAATGCATTTTCAAAGAAAATGCCTTTCAATTTTAAACTGCACTATTAACTTAAAGACAAAGATTCTTCTTCACACGAGTGATTCCATCACATAAATCTCTGGTAGTTGCTTTTACAGCTTATGCTTAAGGCTGTGTGTGCTTCAATCTTTTACAATTAAAAAAAAATAGCGCTACCCCTGAATTTTTAATGGATTGATTGGCATATTACCACTATAAAAGTAGCAATTTATTTTTAAACCATAAACCACTGCCATAGACTTTGCTAGAACAGCTTCAACATGTGGATCTTTTGGTTTGTTGTTGCTTTGGATAGTGGTGGCACCGTTCCGTGATGTTAGTATAATCAGAACAACTGACGTCTGGTGATGGACTTCTGCGGCAGTATTCAGTCCTCTTCCCAGAATGAAGCTGCATTTTAAATTGACGGCAGAGATGCTTGAGAATAGCTTTGGAAAATGAAAAGGAATCAGTGTATGGTTTAAGAGGAGAGCAATGGAGCTGCATCTGAAACTCTGACTTCACGGCCAGTAGTTAGTTATACTGGTGACGTGCAATTGTTAGTCTGTGCATCTCCACCCAACGTTAAAAAATCCGCTTATGCTCATTAATATGCAGAAACATACATGTTGGGATCAGTAATGCAATTTCATATTTTTAAAAACATCTTCAGTGCATTCCGCAAATTTGAATTCAGTTACCTAAAATGTTTGTTGAAAAATGTTCTTCTTTTTCTTTCACATGATCAATGTCACTAAAAATTTGAAGTGTATTAAAAGTTATGGTGATAGCTGCTGTGGGGTGTTCATGACACACTGTGGTCTGGAAAGAAATGACTAATACATTATTTTTAGCTCATACTTTTTGAGTTTCCACCATATGATGGCTTATTGTATATTTTAAAGTAGTGAAAAAGCATCTCTA